TTCCCTCTTGGCTCCTTCTCCATGGCCCCTCAGTCTTTTCAACCTCCACCCAATCTTTAAAGTTCTATTCCCTCTAGGGGAAAGCTTAGAAGTTCTTGGGAACCTGATATTCTTTGTTCTGTCTCCATTCTGGAAGGTCAGTGTTTGGACATTAGAGGTTTTTATGTTCCTCACATTCTTATGAGTGGAACCATGATGAAGACCAAGAAGTCTTCCTCTTGCTGAGATGGACCAGGTCTCAGAGGACAACTTCAGAGCGTTTAACACAGTCTCTTTTTCTTTCCTCTGTCGTACCAAGGACTTTCTCCATTTGTACTAACTAACACAAGAAGGGAAAATGAGAAATAAAAGTTTCTTTCTCCTCAAAGGAAATATTCAAATTGATTAAATAGGCTTTGAAGTTTGGCCAAGAAATTTACCACCATTGATTTGGTAAGAGATGTCTACATTCCAAACAATTGCATTTTGTTGGGGCCTCTTTATAGACTGCATAATAAAATGTAATAGGATAAACAATGAAACTTTAAAAAATACCTCTTCTTTCCAAATTTTCCATTTTTTTTCAATGTGGACAAATTTATCAGTCTTTTCTGGTGAGAAGCAGCATTTAATTTTACCTTTTTTTTTTTTTTTGTATCTTTCCTTTGCATCAAGAATCAAACTTCAGTAGTCAGATTCATGTCAGTTCTTTTAAAAACTTAATACCTTAGAAGTCAGGCAACTTCAATAATAATTTAGCTTTTGTCATTTATTTTCTGTCACTTTGGGTAAGTTACTTCACTTAACTGAAGGTGATTTTTATCATCAATAGAAAGAAGACTTGAYATTCTTGAGATCCTTTGTGGTAGTTTAAAAAATATGTTCACAAATTATTTGATTCTCCTCCCTTTAAATGGTAGAATTTAAATTCTCATTGAGTATAAGTTGCACTTAGTGACTCACTTGTGGTGAATAGAAGCATATGGAAGAACCGGGTTCTTATAACCAGGTTATAAGCCTGGATTATAAAAGGCATTCCAAATTCCTCTTTGGGTCCCCTGTCTCTCCCATGGATCCCCTGATCTGAGGAAAGCCATATTCTATGCGGTGAAGGTACTCAGGAAGCCTTCTGGAGAGGCCCATGTGGCCAGGAACGGAGGCCTCCTACCAACAGCCAGTGAGGAACTGAGTTCTCCTAACAACAAGCACAGAAGTGAGTCATCCTGGAAATGAATGCTCAAGTGCCAATCAAGCYTTTAGATGACTGCAGCCCTATGCAACATCCTGACTAAAATCTCATCAGAGACCCTGAGCCAAAATTACCCGATAAGYTACTGCTGAATTGTTGACTCTCGGAAATTGTGAGATCGGTTTTTAAAACAATGTTTTTTTGAAGCATTAAGTTTGAGGTAATTTGTTATGTAGTAATAGAACCTTGAACCTTACCAAACCTTCCAGTTTGTTTCCATAATTTTAACACAGGAGGATACATTACTCATATTTCACATGTTGCTTTGCCTGTTATATTTTAAAACATTTCCTTGAACAGCTTGCATTTCATATAACAAAACATTTTAGAAAACTAAACAACATTTTGAATAGCAACATTTTTTTAGCTGAATAATTACTCTTTTGATGGCTTATATGTTTTAATAAAATGAGATGTTATGAAATTTATCACCTGCCAAAGGGTTCTAGAGCAGGAAGAACTCTTAGGTCCTTAGAGGGCCATCAAAAGGGATGTGAAGCTCTTGACATTATATACAATGTGTTATGTTAAGAGCATTTTCTAAGATAGATATCTGTATCTTGTCCCAGATATTCATAGTTTTAAGCCCCTCACTCACCATCTTAAAAAAAAAAAAAGAATTAAGAACCACTAATTTGGTTCAGGAACACAAGTGAGTGATTTGCTCTTAGAAGTTGTCTGACTCTTAACTCAGTGCTCAGACTCCAGCCTATGAGGTCAATTCTACCTACAAGAGGCATCTTAGGGAAGAACTAGTTTTTATCAATGCTGTCATGTGTCAAGACCCTCAAAATAGACATGTACACTTAGTGTTTTCGCTACTGCCTACCCTCCTGCTTGTTCACTTGATCAACTGCTTCAGAAAGAAGGTGGAATGGATCTCCCCCAAAAGACCCTCTTCCTGGCAGGCCTCATAGATTGGTTCCTTTTGTGTAGCCTTGACATTGAAGCCCTCAGGAGCTCAAAGTACTGCTTCACCATGCTGGAATCTGAACTCACTCCATGGAAGAAACACATTATGCTTCTCTAACTTGATTACTGTACGTAARTCAGTTGTATCTACATTGGTTTTTGAAACTTCACCTCTTCGTAGTGTCGTTACTCATCTCTTTCTAAACTAAGTCAGATGTAAATATTATCAGCATAATAAATTAATAGATTTGRTTTCAACAACTGAAAAATCCCAAAGTTAAGTCTATTTATGTKACTTCAGGATACATTCTCCCTGTTTAAAAATTAGCAGTTGCTAAGTAACATTCACAGATGCCTGAAAACTAAGTATAAATCCTTGGTTGGAGAACAGGAACATAACTTGCATTCCTCTTGCATGTTTCACAGTGCTAGTTATTCKTTAGTTTCTCTTTATTTTATTTTTTATCTTGTACCRAGCATTGAACTCAGAGGCACTCGACCACTGAGCCACATCCCCAGCCCTATTTTTGTATTTTATTTAGAGATAGGGTCTCACTGAGTTGCTTAGGGCCCTGCCATTACTGAGGCTGGCTTTGAACTAGTAATCCTCCTGTCACTGGGATTACAGGCATGTGCCACCATGCCCAGCTCATTAGGTTCTCTTTAAATACCTCATCACCAATGGTGCTGAGTACTCACAGTGCCCAAAACTGGGCTGCTAGAAGCTGAGGGAGCCCATGTGACAAGTGGCCAGGGAGGGAAGTGCAGGAAATCCTGGTTTTAACCACCGTCTGTTACAGCTTAAGCGCTCTGTACATCAGCTTTACCACGACCTCATACAAACCTTCCATCCATCCCATCASCCTCATGAACACCAGGACAATCTTTTTGCTATGACCAAAGATAAGCCAGAGAAACCATGATGAAATTAYAGTCCTGGAGAGAGTCAGGCTGAGGAATCTGTGCCATTGTCGTGAGCTGCCCACTTAGGCCCAGGCTGGGCTCCTCCCACTGAGCTCTGGAGGACATCAGCTGTTAGCAGATCCTGGGCCAAAGGATCCACCACCATTATCCGCCCCAGCCACTATCCTGGGTCTAAGGACACTTCTCCGACTCAAAGGGTGGGAACCCAAACTCAGAGCCATGGAAACGGTCCCAGGATCTCTGAACGCAGAAGTATCCAGCAAATCCAGCCCTGTAGCCTAACTTATAAAACAATTTGTAGCACGAAAATAAAATTGACTCAAGTACTGGTCAGGTATATTGATTTTTCCATAAACCAAAAGATATGAGTCCTTTTGACAAGAAGAGGGGACATGTTTCCTATGTTGATGTTATTTTTTACGAAAATAAAAACAGTCATATATTTAAAAGTGATTTCAAACTAGCAGATTAACCTTGTCAGATGAAGAAGGAAAAAAAAATCCTTTGACAAAGGAATAAAGTTTAAGCTTTCAGGAGGTTGAATTTAATAATAGATGGCAGCAAAGAGCAGAAAAAAGATCCTTGAAAGTTTTCTAAAGAAAAACTAAGGTAAGATTTTCTAAAGGGATAGTATATATAGCAGGTTATTTATTTTTAAAAACAGGGAGACTGAAGAAGAAAGGAGGGGCTAGGGGGATATAGCTCTGTCGTAGAGTATGTGCTTAGCATGTGCAAGGGCCTGGGTTCAATCCTCAGCACCACCATGCCCTTAATCACCACCCCCYACCCCCAAAACAAAAAGTGATGTCATTCAGGACATGCCACCCTAAAGCATGGTACCTTGTCATCTGAGAAAACCTCAGAGGCAGGAAGGTCACTCTGACCTTGTGTCCTGAGGCAGGTCACAAAACCTTGGGGGGATTTTCTGACTTTCCCTGAAACAAGTCATAGACTCTTATGTGAGAGAGATCTTCCCTATGCCCAGAGAAAAGGAAGGCTCTCATCTCTAAGAATGCTGGAACATACAGAAGAATCTGAAGAAATCCATWGGCCTTGGCAAATGCACCCCATTCACTGCCTCCCCAGTTCACTACCATTTGTCCATACCCTTTGGTCCAATCATAATATCCACTTCTTCATCAAACCTGCATAAAAATACACCAGAATAACTGTTTCTGAGGGTCTTTGTGTCCTTATGAAGGAAAGCTTCTTTGTCACATAAAACTTACTTTAAATAAAATTTGAATTCTTTTCTCTTGTTAATCTGTCTTCTGTTATAAGGACCTCAGCCGTGAACTTAGGATGGGCTAGGAAAAGATCTTTTTCCTCCTCTACCRTGGTGTTCTTTGAATCTACCCAGAAACCCTTTCATCTGAAAGTTTAGAAGTTCACTAAAATGATGTCATTTAAGAAAACAAATGTGGTTTTGGTGATCACATCAAGAAAACATGCCTACTTTAGTCCTCGATCAACACATGCAGCTCTGCCCAGAATTGGTTGTGTCAGGCTATGATCATTTGCTCGCCACAGATCACTTTAGAGGGGACTTTTYAAAGCAGAATCAAAATATGTACAATGGGATTTAAATTGTTTTTATAATAGGAATGCCAATGTTTAAAATTCTGAATTTCAATAGGAGATCCAAATGTCAGCTTTCTTAAATGATTAAGTATCTTGATTTTGCATGCAAAACACACCAAGTATTCATTGAATGTGAATTAACAAAGCAAAATTAAAAGGAAAATCTACACCACAGAAAATGTGAAAGARCCAAGTTAGCAAATATAAATAGTGCATCTTTCACTATTGACTTTGCTATTCTTGTTCTCAAGACATAGTTACTATTAAAAAAACACTGCTGGCCAGTGAGTCCASAGCAACTCTACTAAATCAAATAATGACTAAAAATGCTTCATTTTCCTCTTTTATTCGGTAGGTATTATTACTTGGCATTCAGAGCACATCAAACGCCTCCTGCTAGTAAAGAGAGCTGTGCTGCTATCTTGGAAAAGTCCAAATTGGATCACTGGGTACTGGGGAAAACAAAGGTAGTTCTTTCTTTATTGTTCACATCATCCCTGTGTGCTGCTTTCCGGTGTGCCTGTATTTCTTGTTGCTGGTATCTCTGGCAAGAAGAGCTGTGTAAGGGGTGTAGCTTAGCAGGCAAAAGCCTAACCTAAAAACAGTCTTTGCTGCTCTTGACTCGGGAGCCCAGGCACCCCAGAGGCCAGAGGAGGAAAGTTGCCTCCTCTGTTCTGCATGTAATTTGAGAGTCACTTAGCATTTCTAGACTGACATCTTTGAGCTCCCTTTCAAATGTCCCCTTTTCAAGACTTTGTATTCTAGCACACGTGCAAATATACAAATCATATTAATGGCAGTGATGAGTTTCCTTTGGAGTTCTGTTCATTTTTTCATTAGACTCATGTTGTGCTATTTATTGCCTACCCTGTTTATTAGTTTCATCGTGTGTAGGTTTTCATTTGGGAGAACATCACGCCCTTGCAGGACCCCAGGATTTTATGGCCCATCCWGAATTGCCCTTCAAAGCCAGCTTTAGCCCAAGAGATCATAGCAGCACCGTGGTCCTCAGCAGAAATTAGATCAGTGTGGGTCATGCAGGTCCCTCTCCCTCTRACTTCCTCCATGGGCCAATGGTCGGTCCTGTTGGTGGTACCTCCATYAGAGGCTGTGGGGAACAAGGAGAGAGAGCTCAGGCTGAGAAAGTGGAACTTCTGACTGACACAGGGCAGGCTGGTGAGCACCTGGGACCCATGACACCYTATAACATCATCATCTGTTTATATCAAGAACCAAGGCTTGGCTCAGCTTGAGAAGGAGACTTGTATTTGCCCCCAATATGAGACGTGAGAATGTGTCAAATCACTGTAAACGTTAATTTACAGTGATTACCTTAGTAATCACCTTAAGAATATATTGGGGTACAGTGGATTTCTGTTGGAAAGCCCATATATAATGCTAAAATTAATATATCCTTTCAGGTTTTTCTCAAATACTACCATGTCGAGCAATTAAATCTGCTACTGCAAGAAGTCATAGGCAGAGTGGTGATCCTACAGGCATATACCAAGGGGTGGCTTGGAGCCAGGAGATACAAAAGAGTCAGAGAGAAGAGAGAGAAGGGTGCCATCACCATCCAGTCAGGTAAATGACCTGTTTTCATACAGTCTTCYGAGTGCTCACCTTCTATTAGTACTGGGGCTTACCACCTGTACCAGGTGATAGGGATGTAGCCTTGAGAAAAATGCCACAGTTCCTGAGTTTGCACACAAGTCATTGTGACAAGACAGAGGCCGTATGAGGGGCCCAATGGTGTCACATCCCAACCACACCCACACGTGCCCTGTCTCCCAGAATGACTAGTGCGACATACACTCAGGACCATGCATTCACATCACCCCATCAGAGGCTGGCTGGCTTTGCTAGCCCACCTGGAATGTGTAGACTAAGGAAACCGACCATCAGGCTCCTTCCCCTCTGCCTGGCCCTGTGAGTGTCTCCATGCACTTGTAGGAGTCACTGTACTATTAACAGCCGCWGAGCTTCTGTGCTATGGACAAGTGGTTGTAAAAACACCAGATCTTTTTCTTTTTCCTTTTTAAAAATTTGTTCTTTTTAGATATACATAACAGTAGAATGTATTTTGACATATTATACATACATAGAGTATGATTTATTCTAATTAGGATCCCACTATTATGGTTGTATATGTTGTGGAGTTACACTGGTTATGTGGTCATATATAAAGATAGGAAATTACGTCCAATTCATTCTACTGTCTTTCCTATTCCCATTCCCCCTCCCTCTCCTTCATTCCCCTTTGTAATGAACTCTATTCTTCCCGCCCTGACCTTCCCTTGTTACAGATTAGCATCCACAGAGAGAATATTCAGCCTTTGGATTTGGACTGGCTTATTTCACTTAGCATGATATTCTCCAGTTTCATCCATTTACCAGCAAATGCCATAATTTCATTCTTCTCTATGGCTGAGTAATATTCCATTGTGGATATATACCATATTTTCTTTATCCATTCATCTGTTTTAGGGCACCTAGGTTGGTTCCCTAGCTTGGCTTTTGTGAATTGAGCTGCTACAAACATTGATGTGGCTGTGTCACTGTAGTATGCTGATTTTAAGTCCTTTGGGTATAGACCAAGGAGTGGGATAGCTGGGTCAAATGGTGGTTCCATTCCAAGTTTTCTAAGGAATTTGCTGCCTTCCATAGTAGTTGCACCAATTTGCAGTCCCACCAGCAATGTAARAGTGTGCCTTTTCCCCCAACATCCTTGCCAACATTTATTGTTACTTGTATTCTTGATAATTGCCATTCTGACTAGAGTGAGATRGAATTTCACTGTTGTTTTAATCTGCATTTCTCCTATTGCTAGAGATGTTGAACATTTTTTCGTATTTTTTTGGACCATTTGTATTTCTTCTGTGAAGTGCCTGTTCAGTTTCTTTGCCTATTTATTGATTGTTGTTTTGTTGTTGTTATTGTTGTTTTGTTTTGGTATTAAGTTTTTTGAGTTCTTTGTATATCCTGGAGAGTAATGCTCTATCTGAGGTAAAGGCGGTAAAGATTTTTTCCTATTCTGTAGGCTCTCTCTTCACATTGTTGATTGTTTCCTTTCCTGTGAAAAAGCTTTTTAGTGTGATACCATCCCATTTATTGATTCTTGATTTTACTTCTTACGTTTCAGGAGTCTTGTTGAGGAAGTTGGTTCCTAAGCCAACATGGTGGAGAGTTGGACCTACTTTTTCTTCCAGTAGGAGCAGGGTCTCTGGTCTAATGCCTAGGTCCTTGATCCACTTTGAGTTGAGTTTTTGTGCAGGGGTGAGAGATAGGGGTTCRTCTTCATTCTACTACCTATGGATTTCCAGTTTTCCCAGCACCATTGGTTGAAGAAGCTATCTTTTCTCCATTATATGTTTTTGGCGCCTTTGTCTAGTAGGAGATCACTGTATGTAAGTGGGTTTGTCTCTGGGTCTTTTATTCTGTTCCATTGGTCTTCATGTCTGCTTTTGAAAGCACCAGATCTTGACCATGGTGGATGACCTCCTGCCTGCTCTCAGAACCCAGGACCACCATGTACGGAAGAGTTACGATGCTCAGGCTGAGGTCGGGTAACAAAGAAGAGCTACTGCTGCTGCTATTGCTGGGTGGCTTCCTGCTTCAGTCTGCATCGGAAGGACTCACCCAGCCCCTTCCTCTGTCCTGTCCTCTTCAGCTGTCTTCCTTGCCTTTCCCCTTCCATGGCCACTTCCCCTCCCTGAGCACCCTCTTGCAGAGTGCTCATTATTTCCCTGGACTCCCCTCTTCTCTCTCTCTCTCTCTCTCTCTCTCTGACTTTCATGTTTATATCTTTCTCCTAAATACAAAATATTAAAAGGACCAGTCTATTTCAGTTCTTCCACCACCCCTCCAGCCCCAGTTTCCCACCATCCTCTCCATGACCCCAAGTCCCGAAGACAGGTTTTCCCCATGGATTGGAATGACAGGGAACCATCGCACCTGGTGTAGCTGACCCAAGTGATTCCTAAGCAGAACTCAGTATGCTGCGGAAACTCACTGATTAAACAAACCAAAAATAAATGCCTCCTCAGAAGCATCTTGGAAGCCAAGCTGCCAGCACAGAGAGGYCCCGCTTCCCCACCAGAGCTCACATAGCTCTACTCATTTTGTTCAGTGAGAAAGCAAGAGGGAGGAGGAGAGGCATAATAGATTGGAGGGGGAAACAGCTTATATCAATTCTCTGGCACATTCTTAAATTAATGTCATTCCTAGCACATGGTTTTATATTTTTAGCCTGGAGAGGATATGAAGCTCGGAGCAAATTTAAGAAAATAAGCAACAGAAGGAGTGAGTCTGCTGCTCATATTCAAGCAGGTAATTCAAACATCATTTTAACAGTGTCCACTTGAAAATATTCACATGCAAATATGTGTAGAAAGGCTGGAAAGCTAATAATAGAAGCCCTGGGGTAAACCAATGGTTCCAGTAGTGGGGGGGTCCTCATGTTTGTTCCGACACCCCCACCCTCATGGGTCACAGTGAGCATTTGTAAGTGCCAGGCTTGACTAAGGAGGCTCTGATAGTCCTGATTTTCTAGAGGAAGAAACTGAGGCACAGAGAGGTGAAGTTACTTGTCCACCATCTCACAGCTGGTAGATGGCATTTGAACCCAGGCATACTGCCAGCTGGACAAATCTCTTTCCCTCTTGGAGTCACAAGTCCCTCATCTGTGCAACCCTAACACTGGTTTTGAAGGCCTCTGATTATTTGCAAGACCTGTCTGTCTCTCAGCATTGCAGAGAAGGAATTTCACTCAGCCAACTTTCCCAGCCATCAGAGTTTCCCCAATCCAGGCCTGTATATAGCTCGTGTGGTCCTCTGGGCCCCACGGGGTGAGCACATGGTGGCTCTTATGGCTCAGCTGGCCCTTGGCAGCCTGAGAACCACGTGCTCTGGTTACTGGCTCATCTGTCCCCTCCCTGGCTCTCAGGTCACTCTGCTCTTCTGCAAATGGCATGTCCACTGTGGCTGCTGGGCCAATCTCCCTTCCTCATTTGAAGCTGTATATTCCTAATTGAGGATCTGGAAGAAACAAGYTCCTATGTGTGCCAGGAGCTTCAGGAGCACAAGAAATTGGAGATGGAGTGAGAGAGTCAAGGCCAGTGAGCTCAGCAGTGGGGAKCGAGATAGGGTTTCAGAAAAATGCCAAGCTGGAAGCAAATTCTTGAATAAGACAGCTGCAACCTTTCAAACAGGTCCCTACACAAAACTCAGCTCCCAGGATACTTCTCCAAACTGTCTTAGACCCCAGTGGAGGCCTGAAATCTTCATTCAGAATGAAAATATTTTAGAAGCCATTTAAATGCAAATGTGTAACTTTTTAACATCATCCAGTACAATTCTAAGCTCTACAACCTCAGAGTCTCAGGAAGAGAACAATTCACCTTGCAGCTTTTCTCTGCTTCCCCAACACACAACACACACACACACACACACACACACACACACACACACACACAGTCTCCCATCAAAAGAGGATACCAGGCTGATTTCAGATCTTATGCTTTGGCCCAAATCTCGACACATTTAAAAATATAAACTTGGAACTTGTACATTGGTTAACACAGAGTCCAGTATGTAAAGATCATAAATCCAGTTTTCCTTCTCTGAATATCATCTTGAGAGGCTCRCTGTTTTGCACTGTGTAATGCCAAATGAATGCTGCATCAAAGCAGAGACAGTTCTGCTGCATCATCATGGTCTCAGGAAAGTGACCATCACATCCGCTCCGTGTAGCACCGGCAGGCTGGGTGCCTTGTGGAACTGGACAGGACTCATTTCTTTAAAGTGCCTCCTCTTTTTTTTATTCCCCAAAGCTTTGCAAACACCCCTCTTCCTTAGCCTCAGAGCCAGTGATCCCAACTATCCAGTGATGTGGGGACACACAGTAACCAACTCTGCAGGGTCTTAGGCAGGCATGAAGGTGGCACCAATRCCACCACTTCCCTGGTGGCAGCCAAAGGGAAAGCAAACAATGTCTCTGCCCTTCAGCCAATTCCACAACAGGACCGGTGTGCTGGTTTTGCATTCCAGAAATAGGATGGCAGCATTTGCGATTTCATAGGCAGAATATTTGACTTAAGAATGTTTTCCTCAATAAGCTTAGATKCGAAGGCATTGTTATATTTACCTGAAAAGCAAAGCAACACATTTGGACTTTGTTTGGGGTCCGGATTTCCCAAAGCACGATCTTCTCATTACAAGCCCCTCCTGTTGCCACTAGGACATTTCCAAGTGGAACAAGACCCCGACACAGCAGTCRCCTCAATTTTGAAACCTACAGGGAAAGGCTCAGGAATACCTTAGCATAGCCACCTCTCATTATTTTCTAAGATTAACCTCTAATTGATTATTTTTTCAATAAATCATTTTATTTGGAATTTAAATTTTGTGAAATGCATTTGTTGGTATTTCTAGTTCTGGATCATATAGTCATTTTTTAAAAAATGTTGTCACTAAGATATGTTATATTTTTTTTAAAAGAGCAGCCCTTGAAATTTAGGAAGCATTTGGCCTACATGTTGCTGCAGAGCAGCGCATATTGAAATTTGTTTTCCTTTCATCTCCTTCCCAATAAAGCAGCCGCGTGGCTGATCCCTTCAGCTTCCTCAGAACTTCCTCTCAGAATTCCCGATCTATTACTGCACATTCACATACCAGCAACAAGCTGCCTTTTCATGCTGTCAACCTTTTTCATCTGAAATGTAAATTAATTCTTTCTGGTATGCCTTGACAGAGATCAAAGTCGGTATTAACCTTCCCGGGCTTTCTCCCTGTGAGGACTGGGCAGCCACTGGTAGGAGCCAGTGTCCCCACCATGGGGCCCTCCTCCAGGCAGCCCTCAGAGGAGGAACTTCTGTTTCAAAGGCTCAGGGTCCTTTTGTAAGTGGTTTCTTCAGGGCTTAAATTGGGGGTAAAACGATCCGCCTGGCTGATTCTTGAGAGATGAGCCTGCTCGGTTTAATTGTGGGCCCTTCCCTCGGATTCCCAGGCTTAGGTTAAGTGGAGTGATCTTGGTGTGATGGAGGGAGGGTCCGGGCTTCAGTCTGGAAGCCTCTCCCCGAGCTCAGTGGGTCACTTCTTGCCTGTCAGTCTTTGAGGTAGGCCGTATTTGCATTTTCAAAATAAACAGATGCCTTTTAAATACATGAGCTGGTGGTCTGGAGATCTCTGTGGGCCCAAACAGTTCACCAGCCGGTGATCAAATGCTGGAAGAGAAAACATGTGGATAAAACACCCCGGGTACATGAGGGCACATTTCCTATGTGTCTAACCGTGCAGGTCATGAAGGGCCTTTGTGAGCTGTGGGGAGACCTGGGGTGAGGGAGCGTGGGCTCCTGTGCCACTGGGTTGTTCACCAGTTTCCTTGGGGGGCTGGGGGAACRACTTTGAATGTCACCTTGGCAAAAGTGGTATTTTTTTTTTAATTATCGGTGAAGTTTGATAATACTCTCTTGTCATAGGAAAATGCATTCCTTTTAAATGCCAAAGAATTAAAAGAATGTCCTTTTTAAAAATTGGTAAATAGATGAGTTATTCTAAGTAAAAATTAAGTTGTATTTACTCCATTACTAATCTATTATTTTTTAAAATCAGCTGTTACGTTTCACAGAGTGAATTTAACTACATTCATCTAACTAAAAAAAAGTGCATATTCCTCAGTGAATACTATCAAAACAAACTACCTACAGGGAATTTCTAAAAGATCTATATTGTCTCATTCTTTGATTTTTTTTTAATACCACTGACTTTAAAATCGCCCTCTAATTCAGGATTCATTCTTTTTAAAGAGCAAAGTAGTGGACAATGCCCTCTGAGTAGGTGACCGTGGAGCCCTAAGAGCTGGGAACAGAATTTCAAAGAGTGTCTCCCAGAAGGAGACACACACACACACACACACACACACACACACACACACACACACACAGGCAGGAGAGCCACTGGTTTACAGCACCTTTTCATCTCCTTGCTTCTGTAGAAACTGTTCTCCTCTCTCCGATTGCTCACTGCCTACCCCCCTCCTGGGCCCTGCCAACAATACAGCCCTCACCAGAAAATAACAATAGTGCCCACATCAATGGCATTTCTCCTCTGATGCCCTCTGGAGGAATGCTTTTCTGGGTGTCAGCAGTGACACTGCAGAGGCCAAGGGGGCGCCTTGAGTCTGTGGTCAGGCATTTTTAAACGGCCTGTGATTGGAACCCTGAGTGCTTTAAATGCTGCTTCTGGGAGGGAAAGCAAGCTCCACATGGAGATGGCCTGACTCTGCCAAAGTTTTTTTTTTTTTTTTTTTTTTTTTTTTGTATTTGTAACTGTCTCAATGTTTAAGCTCTTTCAGGGTAGGGCTTTCTGCTAGCCTTTTCTAGCTTTAAAGTTAGCTTATTTCCTTCAGCATGTTTGGTGGATTGGTAAAAACTAGGTGAACGCAACAATTTCCTGGAATCAGATTTCTGCAAGTATCTGTAGGCGTCCTGGACAACTTCATTTTAATCTGGGCATTKCTTTCATTCATTCATTTATTCAACTGGGCTTCATTTAAGCATAAGCTGTATGCTGGGGCCATTATGGTAAACAATAGGATTTGTTTGGGGGCTTCAAATTTTCTAACTCCAATGTAGAGAACTCTAAAATATGCTCTCCCTCAAGGGACCCTGTTTGAATAAATGAGAAATCTCTATTGTGTCAATAGACATTTTAAAGAAGTTCTATAAAATCTAAAACAATGCAAAGGCAAGACCCATTTTATAACATAGCCCTGGTTATGCATTGAGATCGCTCATGCAGGTCGGAGATGATCACGTAGATATTTTTCCATTTTGATGAAGTTGTGCATATGTGGGTTGTTGATCACAAACCAAACAGGAGGAGTGCAAGAGGGACGTTGAGAGAAAGGTCCACATGGAACAAACCAGGGGCACAAGCATGGCTCTGTCCCTTCTTTCTGTGTCTCCTTTTGTTGTTCTACATCCACTCTGTTTTTTCTTTACTCCATTTCTCTTTCTTAGAAAGATTCTTATTCAATTTTCACAAAAACTTAATTCTTCAAGCTTGAGTCCTTGTCAGAGGAAGCACAGGTGTGGGCGAAGACAAGTTCCAAATGYTTCTTGGCCACAGGGCAGGAGGCGGCCACCTCCCCTTTCCTGGCATTTCTGGCTAGAATTCTCACATTAGCAAAGAAACATCTGGAGGAAAAAATTATGTAGTACACCTGGGCTTGAGAGGAGTTGCGAATTGCAAACTAGCTCCCCTGTATTAAAACCTTTGCTTCCCCGATGATAAGGTGCCCTTCAGGCTGAGGCCAGGGGTCCTGCTCAGTCCACTGTCATGCTGTTTTTGTCTCTCCAGCTCTTAGTCAGTGAAGAGCTGGGGCTGATTTCTGACAGCTGTAGGCTTAACATTTTGGAGGGGGAAATGTCTGGAGGGGGGGCAAGCATCATGATTCACTTTGAGAAAACGCGCCTGCTGTGAGCATGGGCAGGACCCACAAAGAGCCACCAGAAGTGTGGCTCATAGCGAGTGGTTTACAGCAGGGAAAAGACCAGGCCTGTGGCTTCAGGGTATCTGTCAAGAAATGAGCCTTGCCAAATCTCTCTTTGGCACAAACAACAGAATTCTTTTCATGGCTTGGTTTGGAATGCAGAAGAATGTCCTTTACTGTGTAACAAAATTATTGCTATGTTAGGATGGCACAAGCCAGAGGACAGACAGGGTGTTTCCCATCCACCTAGTATATACACAGAAAGCTGCAAAGTCAATGTGGGCTGGTGGCTTCATATGCTTGTCATTGACATGGCAGGGAAATGTGCTTACCATGGAACTCTGGTGTAGCATC